GGATTCACTGAGCTCAAGGTAACACGAAGGTCAATGACAGTAACCGTGGCAGAGGCCACCTTTGAAAAGAAAACAGCAATGGGAATAGGAGAAAAACGTCACAGACACTCGTGTGACGTTGTGTTTATTCTCTAACTGCTGCCCAACTACCTTCTCTGCACCAACCACCAAAGTCCTGGCCCTGCCCTTGTGCTCCGTAACGCTGCCCACTGCTAAGGAACCTCCCGGTCTGAAGTATTCCCATTACCCTTCCCAGCTCTGAAGCACAGCAGCTAATTAAGGATTTATGCACTTTTTGCTTGGGCTTCATATTTCCATGCTACGGTTTCTCAGTTAATTCATAAAAGCAATTTTGTTCGTGCCTGTGATCCGCAGTTATAACAAAACAACAGGAAAAATCTGCCAGATTTACCAAAGCTGATACCAAGGACAAAACACAGGATGTTCAATACATATTCCTCTTCCTTTTATGGCTGTGTTTCTAAGGTTAAGAAAGCCCTGAAATTCAGTGTGACATCAGTATGGGCTTTGAAAGCACTTTGTCCCCTGACAAACCCGGCCAGAATTTTTCACGCTTTCAAAAAAATGAAAACAAAAAAAAAAAAAAAAGAAAAGAAAAAAAAAGAATTTCATAATTGTGCTGCAGCTCACTCGTGTCGCCACGGGCCTGGGTCCTGGGTGATGCAACTCCTGGGGAGTCCACAAACCACACGTTTGGCTCCTCTGGCTTCGAAACAACTGACAAACCCCGCACGGTTCTAGCGGCAGCGAACAGCTGGCGCGTGTCCCTTCCAGCGCAAACCCCGAGTGGAATTTGCCTCCCCCCAGGGTAATTTTATTAATGTATGCTACTTTGCTTTAAACCCCGAGTTCTGTACTTTTCACAACAGGATATAAATCACTCCACTAATGACAAATAAAAGGAGACATACACGAGGCGCTCACGCTGATGTCAATTAATTGATCGGGGTAAAATCTATGAATCAATGTGTGACACGGGAGAGCTAAAAATCAGCTAAAACACAATCCCGAGCTTTGCCGGCTAACCAATCTAGAGAATATAAACACATTTCACTTCAAAACACATTCTTTTATCTAGAGGGATGTAACGCAGCCTAGTCCCAATCAAAACATTACTGTTTCCTTCTCCAAAACTTTCAGGAAAAACACCCGGCATCCTTTCAGACACAGGAGCCATTGGCACAGAACTGTAAGTGTTCCGATAGGAAAATCTCTCCTTCCTTTCATAATTTCCAGATCAGAAGCCATCTAGGGAAAAAAAAAAAAAAAAAAAAAGCTGCAAACACTGAAAAAAATGTTCCCCTAAAAAATCTTTGTTCTTGCTGCATTTAAATGGAAACTTCCTTAGAAAGTAAATGACCACCATTGTTTTCTGCTTTGCTGAAATGAGTTATAATATGTAAGAACGGATGGAAATAGGTAAAGGAAGGGAATCACCCAACTGGTCAAGGCAACTGCTGGACAGAATGCCCGTGGCCTCCATGTCAGGATCAAAAGAGGAACCCAGAAGGCACTCTGGGCAGCAAAGTCGGGAAACAAGAGGGGAACCCAGAAGGCACTCTGGGCAGCAAAGTGGGGACAACAAACGTGACAGGTAAATTCACTGAATTTCACTGAATTTTCACTGAATTTTTAGAGTTGGAAGGGACCATAGAGATCATCTAGTCCAACTCCCCTGCTGAAGCAGGATTGCCTAGAGCTAGAGCATGTTACTCAGGAGCATCCAGGCGGGTCTTGAAAATCTCCAAGGAAGGGGACTCCACAACCTCCCTGGGCAGCCTGTTCCAGGGCTCTGTCACCCTCACCGTGAAGAAGTTTCTCCTCATATTTGAGTGGAACCTCTTATGTTCCAACTTGTGCCCGTTGCCCCTCGTCCTCTCACTGGGAACCACTGAAAAGAGACTGGCTCCATCCTCCTTCAACCCTCCCTTGAGATACTTGTAGGCATTGATAAGGTCTCCCCTCAGCCTTCTCTTCTCCAGACTAAAGAGTCCCAGCTCTCTCAGTCTCTCCTCATAAGGGAGATGCTCCAATCCTTGAATCATCAGAAGGGTCCTGGCTTATGAGCTAGGAGAGCACGAAGTATGGAAGTCAGTAGCTGCTCCTCAGGAGCGCTATCAGGCTGTTGGTCCATCTTCCTTCAACGTGTCAGAGCGGCTGTCCCTCCTCGGCCAGCTCCCAGGGGTGGGATGGTATGGCAGATGCAGTGCCTTACACTGGCCAGGAAGGGATGGCTTCAGCCTAGAGACCAGATCCTGCCAGAGCTGGTCACATTCGTCAAGAAAAAATAATCTGAAATGGAATTTAACCAAGAGCCCCAGGTGTTTTCACTAATAATGTCAATATGGGCTTTGTCATGTAGGAAATAACACAATTTCCTATCAATCTCAAGACTATTTCTCATTCTTACCTACAAACTGTCACGATTCACTTAGGTTGTAATGATACAAGTCCCATTTTATGTTTCATTTGAAGACTTCACCTAAAGTCTGTTAAGTTACACGGCCAAGAACTCGTTTACTCAAGGGGCCACAAATCCGGCCCAGAGTGCTCTACAAATTCCACAGCCCCTTTTGTTACTGAACAAAAATCCACAAATGGCTCATTTCCACATCTGGACATTTTCATTTTTTTTTTCCACAGCTCAGGTAAGATGTTACTATAATTTATTTTAGCTATATCCATCTATCCACATATAATTACTAGCACTGAAACATTAAAAACCATGAGTCAGGATCACAAGGTTAAAAATGCTGCAAGTTGGATTCTTTTCAGTTGCCTTCTCTTTTTGAGCTTTGCAGGATAACACAAAACTTGCTCTACAATTATGTGCGTCAGACCCTTCAATCAAAAAGAAAGCTGAAATTTTCATGTATTTAATTTATTAGAAGCTTGGGTTAGCTAAAAAGTAACGAGTACGGCTCACGTTGGCAGTAGTGTAGAAAAATATCCACAGAGTGTTAAAAAGTTGAAAGCAATTGTTTCCACAGAAAGCGTTAAGAAAATTAATCTAAAAATTCCTGGAACAGAATTCTCTCCTCATTATTAGGCTCTGTAACCTATATAAACAGATCTATGGAAAGGTTATGAAATTTTCCATTATTTTCTTCACACAGGCCACAAAATCAAAGTCTTGCTAGAACAGATTTTTAAATAAAGTGACGAGTTGCATTCCTGCTCGCAGCCCTGACTCACCACTGCTCACAGAGAGGGAGTGAAGGAAAAGGCGCTTCAGACCGTGTTGACCAGTTTGGATTCTGCATCAGAGGTTTCCACATGCCACTAATGAGTTTTGAGGAACCTCATCTGGAAGTCTCCAGAACTATACGCGTCCCCAAAAAGTAAATAATATACAGCATGAAAAGGAATGATAGTTCGTTACCCAGGCTTCACACACACTGTAAAAATTAAGTTTTATTAGTCCCTCCAAGCACGTAATTATTGGAAAGGCTGAGATTAAACCTTACAGATGGGCACTCCTCCAAATCTTATCTCCTTCTCCGTGGGAGTAACCTTTCAATTAGTGCAAGCAGGGCCAGCTCCGCTCCTCAGAGGGGTCCCACAAGCGCCCAGCGCTGCGAGGCTAAAGCCAGGTGTGAAAATAGCAAAACCTGTCACAAGCAGGTTGCTTCTGCTTCCCATTTTCAGCATTTCACCCTTCCTGCTCCCAGCCTCTGCTCACTCAGCTCACACTGCTGCCCACCCCACCTCGCCTGGGCACCCCAGGGAGATGCTGAGTCCCCTGGGGAACCCCTGGCTCGCCCACCCTCTGGTTGCTTCGCTTGGTGTTATCCTCCACCCTCATGGTAGCCAAACCCGCTGGCATTTGCTGTGGTCTCTGACCCGACACGAGGGTGAGGACAAGGTGACCGAGGGACACCACGTGCAGGGGGGCGAGCAGACGGGGAAGAAGATGGGATTAGCCACACTCACTGCCTTCTGCTCTCGTTCGATTGCTAAACGCAGATTTCAAAAGACCACAAGCAAACAACGAAACAAACAACAACAACAAAGCAGCCCTTCCAGGGAAGCCTAATAAAATCAGAGGAAGTTTCACCTGAGAAAGGTTTTTTGTTTTGTTTTAAGATTGCAATTTTTACATAGATCACATGGAAACAAACTGAAATAAACAGGATAAGAAAAAAAATACAGCTGTGTCTGAGCCTGTTCAAGGCCTGTAGGCTGGGGCTTGTCCAGGCCTGTGCAGCACAGGGACTCAGAAGAACAGCAGTCACTGTGGCCATGACTATCAAACCAAAATCATGTTTGCCTTTTACGCTAACACACAAGGATAAACCCAAACCCCAAACTATTAAAATAACAATATTTCGGGCCTGATGGTTCCCTTGTATTTGGTTTCGCAACGTGCAGGGGGGCGAGCAGGCAGGGAAGAAGATGGGATTAGCCACACTCACTGCCTTCTGCTCTCGTTCGATTGCTAAACGCAGATTTCAAAAGACCACAAGCAAACAACGAAACAAACAACAACAACAAAGCAGCCCTTCCAGGGAAGCCTAATAAAATCAGAGGAAGTTTCACCTGAGAAAGGTTTTTTGTTGGTTTTTTTTTTAAGATTGCAATTTTTACATAGATCACATGGAAACAAACTGAAATAAACAGGATAAGAAAAAAAATACAGCTGTGTCTGAGCCTGTTCAAGGCCTGTAGGCTGGGGCTTGTCCAGGCCTGTGCAGCACAGGGACTCAGAAGAACAGCAGTCACTGTGGCCATGACTATCAAACCAAAATCATGTTTGCCTTTTACGCTAACACACAAGGATAAACCCAAACCCCAAACTATTAAAATAACAATATTTCGGGCCTGATGGTTCCCTTGTATTTGGTTTCGCACGAGTAACCCAGAAGAGCCCAGAATTGCAGCAGGGGGAGAGGGCAGAGAAGCAGCTCTCAGTAAAAGGATGTGCAATACCCTCATCTGCGTTTGACCTCGCAGGAGATTATCAAAAGCCACACACGTACCTTGCAGGTTAACTCTGGAGACAGGGGGCTGACTCGTTGCTGGGGATCTCCTAGGAGAGACAAAGAATACTCTATCAGTGGGTATTATTTTGGCATTTCAAACCCCGTTGGCAGCTCAACCTGCCAACTCCCACAGTTAAAAAAAATCCTTTTTCATTCGCACAAAGCAGCCCAAAACACTTTAAACTGATTTGGCAGTTAATGAGCGGCATCCCTATATCTGTTAGGAAAACCCAAAGATGTTCTGTCCCCTGGCTAAGCACACGCACACGCTGAAAAGATGGTACACCAGGAAAGATGTGTCATCATGCCACCCTGCCTTGGCAACTTCCCACTCAAAATACGCCTGGAAGTCAGCAAGGGCCAGTCTCTGTGGCTGAAGAGGGTCGGTGGGTGCCCCAAAATCAAGGTCTTCTCCTGAAAAAGCTTCTTCCTACAAGGCCTGGACTAGAGCCTGAAGTAATGTCAACTGCTACCCCAGTGTGCAGGCTGCAAGGCAATGCCTTAGGTAAGGTGAGAAATGTAGGGCTTCAAATCCTGCAGTTAACGCTTCGAATTGCAGCGGGAAGCACGTGAAGAAGACACTGCAACCACTAGGGTAAGCTCTGAAAGAGCTGAAGGACGGTTTTTTGACTTGGAGCAACAATTTCATCAGAAAAGCCTGGATTTCAAAAGGACCGAAAGCTGTTTGAAAAATTGGCTCAAGTCAAGCAAACAGGGTCTGACTGGAAAAAGGGTGCAGCATTTCGCCAAATGTCAAAATATTTCATTGTGAGATTTGCCAAATAAAACTGTTAATTTTTCAAGCTGAAACCATAATGTACTTGGGGAAGAGAGAGACTTCTTTTTTAAAGAAGTTAAAAAGAGTTGACACCGAGATCAAGATCCTTCATTTTGGATTGAATGCGGTAATTCAGGCTGACCAGAAATGAAACTTTGGGCTTGAGCTTCCCTAAGAAGTTTTTCTGATACATTTTAACTGAAGCCAGATTTCCCCACACTCTCTCCTGGCCAACCTCCTAACCCTAATTTTTTTTTTTTTTTTTTTGAGTCAGCCACTGAACTGAAGCATCCATTATTTGCCAGCTCTCCTTTGAAGCTGAAATCAAAGCAAGTCAGCGACTCAAATTCTGCTGCAATTGTAGCTCCGGGGGGTTCTTCAGAAGTGCTCCAGGAAGGCCTCGCTAACCAGGTAAGGTCTGTGTTGGAGTAAGGCAGCTCCAGACCCTTGTCCCCAGCCTCCAGACCTGCTGGTGGGGCTCCAAAGCCTGCTCATGAGCTCCTCTGGAGCCCCATTTGCCAACTGGGCTTTCAAAGGCCGGGCTTTGCCGGAGGGAGCTGCGGGACCCAGATTCTTCGAAGGGTTCAGCACAGGGCGCACACGTTGGGCGCCGACTTCTCCGCAAATCTGCCCCGACCTGCCTCTGCTGAGCCTTTGAAAAGCCAAATCTCCAAATCTCGAAAAAACAGAAACTCCCCGACAGGGACACCACGCTGCGGGCTGCGGCGCTTCCAGTATCTGGGGGAGACGTGCTCCCAGGTATCTCCGTACCCTGCGCTGAGTTGCACAGACATGCCCTGGGGGGGGACGGGGGGACCGGGGAGGGATGAACTCATATTCAGTAGGGTATTCCCCCGCCGCCGGAGCCCGCAAAGGGAACGGCACCGCTCCTGGCATCCTTGAATTACGTCCCAGCCGTGCCCGTCCTGCTTTCTGTGGCAAAAGAGACCCAAAGATCTGGGTTTCGACAGCTCTGCCCCTTTCTCAGCCCCCCACCACGCTCAAGGGCACGGGGCTCCCTCTCTCTTGCCCGTGGGCATTAAGAGGAGCAGGCGCCGGATGCTTTTCTGACCGTGTCCTGGGCCGCCTCTGCCAAACTCCAAACCCATTAATCATACTCTCCTCTTTTCCAATCAGGAAACTGCCTTAAAAGCCCTGACGTTAAAAGTCCGAAAGTTATGACTTCTCGTTGTTTTTTTTTCCCCCTCCAGCCCTTCACATTCATATTTTCCAGCATTTCTGTAAATATGTGGGACAGCATCCTCTTCTTCTCTCTCGGCCAGGAGGGGTGGAGGAGGAAAAAAAAGAGGGGAAAGGAGGGGCTAAAGAAAAGCGGAGATTCTCATGATCCCCAGAGCAGAAGTTTAAGTAAAATACCACATATCATGAGACGTATGATAAAATCATGAGCTGGCAGCAGGGCTGTAACCCAGCAGAGCTGTTTGGAAACTGTGCGGGAAGCTCCGCAGCGCCTGGAAGCACATTCTGCCACGGACTTGGATGTTTGGTATATAATGGTTTAAACACTTAACAACTTCTGCTTTGGCCGGGCAAATGACTTTATACCTCAATCAAATCTGGGAATGTTTTCAAAAGGACACTGCGAGATGCCTCTGTGTCCTACAGGTTACGCCCTCGCTTCCTTCCGGCCCCATCCAATTTCAGATTCCTCATTAGGAACCGCTGAAATGCTTGAGCTGTTCAAAAAAGAAAAGCTTAAAAAAATAAAAAAAAATAAAATAAAGGAATCTATTTCAGCCATCTGTTTTTCTATTAACCTCCATCTTGGAATGCAGCGGTTCCTTCCGATCAAAATTTGCAAACAGAAATCAAGGGGAGGAAAACCTCCTGCCCGGATAAAATGTTGGGCTTTTATGTAAAGTACTGGATTTCTTCGGAAGGCAGAAAACAGAGTCCACGGTGGGCACCCAGGCGACGCCACTCAGGCATGCAGCAAGCCCACGGCACCCCAATGGATCGGAATTTTGCACCTCATTCCTTGGCTCCGGGAGCCAGCGGGACACTCGGAGCGAGCAACGCCTGCCAGTCCCAGGGTGGGATGGGTGGGTGCGCATCCGCCGTCGCCAGGAACGAATGATGCTGGTTTCACGCACAACAGCCCCCCTGGGGCAAAACAGGCCAGAAAAATGACGATGACTGGCTCCTTATAAATAGCTGTGGGGAAACGGTGGTTCCGGACAGAGGTGTAAAAAGGGATTTGTTGGATTTCTCTTGTTCAACAGGTAGAAAAAAACAACATCCTCCTCTTAAGTTCAGAGCATCGCCTTCCCCATTGAGTGCAATTACAGTCTCAAACAAAGCAAAGTAGGAACGAAGCACAGGATGGTCCAAGTTACAGGACCCATTGCCTGCCCTGCTGGGGAAACCCTCACTGTCCCCACAGCCTCATGGCTGGGGTTTCCCTCCTTGGTGTCTACCCTTTGCCCATGAATGTCCCTCTTGTGAAACGATGGTGGAAATACAGGGCAGCACCACAGCTTGACCAAACACCAACAATATCTCTGTTCTAGAGACCATGAAGTCTTGTGAGGAGCAGCTGAAGGAGCTGGGTTTCTGTTTCAAGCATGGTCTGGAGACCGTGAAGTCTTGTGCGGAGCGGCTGAGGGAGCTGGGGGTGTTCAGCCTGGAGAAAAGGAGGCTGAGGGGAGACCTTCTCGCTCTCTCCAACTCCCTGAAAGGAGGGGGTAGCCAGGGGGGGTCGGTCTCTGCTCCCAAGGAACAGGCCATGGGACAAGAGGAAATGGCCTCAAGTTTTGCCAGGGGAGGTTCAGATTGGATATTAGGAACAATTTTGATGCAGAAAGGGCTATTAAGCCTTGGAAGGGGCTGCCCAGGGCAGTGGTTGAGGCACCATCCCTGGAGGTGTTTAAAAGCTGGGTTGACATAGTGCTTAGAGACATGGTTTAGTGATGGTTTTTATCAGAGTTAGGCTGATGGTTGGACTAGATGGTCTTAAAGGTCCCTTCCAACCCGGACAATTCTATGATTCTATGAGGCTACTCATAATTGAGTGGAACTTCCCATGTTCCAGCTTGTGCCCGTTGCCCCTCATCCTGTCGCTGGGAACCACTGAAAAGACTTGGGGTCCATCCTCCCTCAAACCGCCCTTTAGATACTTATTAAGCATTAATAACGGAAGACGTAGTACTTTAGATGTAATAATGTAGACGTAGTGCTGAGGGACTTGGTTTAGTGGTAACTTGGCAGTAGTAGGTCAATGGTTGGACTTGATGATCGTAAAGATCTCTCCCAACTGAAACAATTCCATGATTCTACGGGCACTTAACGAACTGCATGGGCTCAACGGTTGGACTCAATGATCTTAAAGCTCTCTCCCAACCGAAACAATTCCATGATTCTACAGGCACCTAAAGAACCGCATGGGCCAGCCAAACCCCATCACAGGGACACAACACCCCCAAAAACACGTTGTACCCCTGCCTCCACAGCCTCGCCATCCTTTCCCAGTCTCCCCAGTCACCCCCACCAGTACCCTCCCGGGGTGACGGAAGATGGCGGCGACCGGCCGGCGGGCTGCGCTTTGGCGCCCCCTGGCGGCCAGCCCAAGTGACAGAGCGGGCCTGAGGCAGCGAGGCGGGAAGCCCGGGGCCGGTGGCGACCGAGAAGGGTCGGCGGCGACCGGGTCCCCGGTCGCCGCCGACCCTTCTCGGTCGCCACCGGCCCCCAGCTTCGTGCGAGCTGTAATGGAAGGTCAAAACGATGGGCTTACTTGTTGGCGGTGCCGTGCAAATTGGTGAGGAGGGTGAAGTTATTCCTCACGCTTCGTAGGCTGGCCAGCACCTGTGAGGGAGGGCAAAAAAGCGGAGAGGTTATCTTCGCCCAAAGGTTGTAGGGTGTTACGATTATTGGGGATTTTTTTGTTGTTTTTTTCTTTTTTTCCTCAATTTGAGAGGCCGACTCACCTGGGCGAATGGCGTGACAATCAGGTCGTCCCCATGCCTAGGGAGAAATGGAGAAAATTCACCTCAGAAAATTCACCTCAAACAGGGCACCATTCACCCCAAAAAGAGAGCATTTTACAGAGGGAGGTTTACCTGGCAATGAAAAAAAAAGAACAAAAACCCAACCAAACAACCCAACGTTAACCCATGCGGCATTTATTTAACGCCGCGTAACATTCTTGTTCCTAATGGAAAGGTCTCGCAGGGTATATATCCAAAACAACCCGGCCGGAGCGACTGTTCGGAGCGGTAACACCAGGCAATAAAAGCCAGGAAATTCAAAAGTTAAGGCAGCACGCTCGCCCCGCGGTGGAAAAAATAACATAACGGTCCGGGGAAAGGTCAGCTTTGAATTTCCTGGCTTTTGTTGATCTCTGCCACAGTCTTTAATGTTATTCAGACGCCGGGGTTTTTGTCCGGCCGTTTTCATCATGGAAGATTTGAGCAGAAGTTCTGAGAAAAAGACATTGTCACTGTCAATATGAGCCTCTTTTTTGGCGATATTATATATAGCACGTGTGCGTATATGAAAAAAAACAACAGTGTGATTTACCTCATCGAGACATGGCAGGGTAAAGCCATTGCTACACGGCATACACCTGGTTGTGGCTGGAAATTTTGGTAGATTTAGATTATATCTTAGAAAGAACTTCTCTGCTGTGAGGGTGGTGAGAGCCTGGCCCAGGTTGCCCAGAGCAGCTGTGGCTGCCCCATCCCTGGAGGGGTTCAAGGCCAGGTTGGAGGGGGCTTGGAGCAACCTGGTGTGGTGGGAGGTGTAAGTCTTGTGAGGAGAAGCTTAGAACTAGATGATCTTTAAAGTCCCTACCAACCCAAACTATCCTGTCATTCTATGATTCTAAATCCAGGCAATCCAGTGCAGCTGGTGGTGGACTCCCATACCACATACTTACCATGGGAACCTCTAGAGAAGCATCTACCAGCATGGGACACCTTCTAAGGGTTATTCTCCCTGGCTGTGCTGCCACAGAGCATGGCCACTCATCCAGACTCAGGTATCACCTGAGTGCTGTGTCCAGTTTTGGGCCCATCATAACAGGAAGGACATTGAGGGGCTGGAGCTTGACCAGAGAAGGACAACGGAGGTGGTGAGGGGTCTGGAGCACAAGTCTTGTGAGGAGAAGCTGAGGGTGTTCAGCCTGGAGAAAAGGAGGCTGAGGGGAGACCTTCTTGCTCTCTCCAACTCCCTGAAAGGAGGGAGTAGCCAGGGGGGGTCGGTCTCTTCTCCCAAGGAACAGGTGATGGGACAAGGGGAAATGGCCTCAAGTTGCCCCAGGGGAGGTTTAGGATGGATATTGGGGAAAATGTCTTCCCCAAAAGGGTTGTGAAGTCTTTGAAGAGGCTGCCCAGGGCAGTGGTGGAGTCCCCATCCCTGGAGGGATTTCAAAGCCGGGCAGACATGGTGCTGAGGGACATGGGTCAATGGTGGTTTGGGTAGTTCTGGGTTGGTGGCTGGACTCGATCTGAAAGGTCCCTTCCAACCCAGACTATTCTATGATTCTATGAGGCTACATTTCCATTAAAGTTGACCTTGACATTGACCAATGTCAAACCCAGGTCAGCGTTTAGATGCCTGGCCCCCCTGAGCCGGGGCAGGGGGGAGCCTTGATGCCCACAGTAAATGGACACCTCTAGCTGCAGGTCGCCATGAAACTGGGGGAAAGGAGGGTGCTGGGCACAGCTGGACGGGGCTCTCCCCACCCCAGCACAGCTGCCTCCTCCACTGCTGGGAACAGGGGGCAATTGTTAAAACCCACCATTTACACAAAACGCGGTATTTGCATAATTTGGAGTGGTTACTTTGTCTCTGGTAAATATTTACTATATGTTGACTAACAGGGAGGGATATTCTCTTTCAGGGGAATTCTCCCGGTGGATCTCGCTAATATTTAGATTTCTATTTCATGACAAAACTTGTAGGGCTTTCATAATAGTTAAACTCTCTTTTTATGAGCACTTTTTTTTTTTTTTAAATAGCTTAATGGTCACTTTAAAACTTTAAACTGTGCTTTTGAAAAGAAAGGGGCTGCAAATCCCGGACACTCGTTTAAGCTCCACGCTCTGTGTTGTATTGATCCTCTCAAGCTCAGCCATCTGTCCTGGCTTTCTGCTGCCTTTTCCGCTCCGTTCCAGCGAACAACCCGTGACAGAAAACAGGATGGGGAAGAGTAATACTGTAAATATAAGGACGGTTGTATTTCTATTGTCCAGGCTAACGGAGTGTTTGCTACCTGCTTCAGAAAAAGCAGGGATGATGTTAACCAGGCTCTGAATACGCACGAGTAAAGTATAATGGAGAAAAGAGAGTGCAGAAAATCACACCAAGAGCTGGAGTGACAGAGCCCAGGGGGACAGGGGGCAGATTGCAGTAGTCTCTGCCCTGGGCCCAGCCTGGGCTTTACCCTAAAGTTAAACATGAATTCCCACCTGGAGAACTAGTACCAGGAAAGGTAATATTCAAAAATTCTCTATTATTTCAGGGTACGGATGCGAATGCTCTTCTGCTAAATTATGGGTAAAAGGGGGATATTTCAAGGACGGGATGGGGAGAGGGAAGTCAGGGGAGGTTTAGGATGGATATTGGGAACAAATTTTACAGTGAAAAGGTTGTGAAGCCTTGGAAGAGGCTGCCCAGGGCAGTGGTGGAGTCCCCATCCCTGGCGGGATTTCAAAGCCGGGCAGAGGTGGTGCTGAGGGACATGGGTCAGTGGGGGTTTGGGCAGTGCTGGGTTGGTGGTTGGACTCCATGATCTGAAAGGTCCCTTCCAACCCAGACCATTCCATGATTCTATGAAAAACACCCGTCTTGGGCACTCGTGCTATGAAATGTGAGCACCACCCATAAGCTCCTCTTAAACAGAGCCCAGAGGATTACAGGAGGCCACGTAAAGCTCTTAAGTTACTGTAAAATAACGATGTCAGCTGAATTTCTGCTTACTGTTCGCTTGGGAGAGAAGAGTTGCGGGACATGGTCTTTGGTGATAAGTCGTAGTCGCTGTCGGAGCGGTAGAGGAAGGACTCCCTGCGCTGGCTGTGGCCTGGAAACGTGGTGTGCAGGACGAGGCCCGAGGAGGAGCTGGCCTGTGGGTCCAGCGGGCTGCGACCCGGCGACGGGCCATTTTCCACATCGAAGCTGCAAAGGAAACACAGGCCACGTGTCACCCGCACCTGCCAAAAGGTGGTTTTTTCACTTTACGCGTCATCTTTGCGTCACCCACACTGTGTCATCTGCTCAGGACAGGAGTCGCAGGCCTACATTCATGGAGCCTTTGGCTGGTGTATCTCTCCCGTATGCAAGCAGGACTCTGCATTACCAGAAAACATTTACCCTGGAGGCTTCTTTCCTGTCTACATCTGCTCCCTCTCCCTTCGGTCTGGATCTCTCTAAGCTCGGCACAGCTCTCAGCGTGAAGAGGCAGCAGCTGAACACCATCACCCAGCTCCGCACCATCACCCAGCTCCACAGCTCTCCCCACGCCTCCCCCCCAACCCCGGCTGCAGCTTTGATTTGCCAAACCCCACTCCAAGCCTTCTACAAGCGTCACAGGGACTGAAGATGTCATGAAATGCCACCACCCACCCTGTCCACAACTCTGGAAATCCCGTGGGACAGGTTGAGGGCCTGGCAGTTCTGCCAGCTGGAGGCCCAAGTCTCTTTTTTGGCCATAGTTCACGTCTTGGCCACCGGGGATAGGAGTTCAGTGAATTTCAAACAGCCTGGGCTGCAAAATGGAAGACTGTTTAAAAGATTTTTTTTAAAAAGCCCCAAACCTCCTGTCACCGTTTCCATTATACACCCACTTTCTTAGGGTTTCGTAACTTGGCTGCTGCAACTGGTGGCTGAAGTCACCCTGGACACTTTAGCAAGTGACACCCCTCATAAACCCTGAAAATAAGCAGGTTGGCCTCCTTCGCTTGGGCATTTGGGTCTGATATAAATACCAGATGTGTGACCGTGTCCCGGCGAAGCCAAGCGGAGCACGGGCGCGTTCAGTAGGAGTTTTCTTGCCTTTGGAAGCCTGAGGCTTCATCTCACTTGCAGCAAGAGCCGAGTTCTCCTACCAGGGCATGTACCTCTCCCCATTCCCCGTGTTCTCCCAATTTGCCTCCGCTTGCAAAATGTTATTTCAGACAATTCCCCTACTGTGACTCCGTGCGTACACGCAGAGATTCAATACGGGTCCACCAAGGGATAAATGAGAAAGGGAAAACACACACCAAAGACGGCAGAAGGGAACCACAGGTCTTGGAGAAAATCACTGAAGGTGCCATCACTGAGCTCGACCTGCATTATTTAGACAGGAGGCTGCAGAGAACAAAAAACCAAGCAGGCTCAGAACGAAGGCAGCCTCTACCCTTCTCAGTGCCCTGACACCCTGAAGCCTTCAACCTCCTGATCAGGAAATCTGATTAAAATCCAGATTTTATGGCGTAGCATGTCCATGGTTCCCTGCATATTGTCAGGAAGGATGCAGAGCCGGGGACAAACTCCCACCATTTAAAACCTGGGCACCAACTACAACCTCAGTCTTAGGTTCTGCAGAAGCATTTCAGGTTCCTGTATAATAAAACTGATTTTTTTTTCCTGGAGAAACACCAAAGATGCAGGAGGGGGACGCAGGAGCTGCCCTGGAAGCAGCAGTGACGGTGAAACACAGGCTGCCAGCCCTTCCTCACCCTTTTAACTTCATAAAACAACCACCGAATCACAGAACAATTTATCAAATATCAGTAATAACACTTTGCGTGATTGCATAGTTTGCTCGAGCAGTTGTATTTATAACATAAATATTTCTTTTCAGTTGTGTGGGTGCTCAGACAGCTATTTTTGATGTCTCCAGAAACTACTTTCTGGGGTGGAACAATAAAAGGCTTGATCTCCAGGCAGTTACTCTGTTCCTCATGGCTGCAGTAGAGGGTAACTGCTTTGCTCTCGTGTTATTTGGTCCCACAAGAATTAAAAAAATGGATGGAAACATGCATTTAATTGATGCAATTAAAAAATGCGTAAGCAGCAGCGCGAAGATTTTTAGATTACTTGGAGATGCAAAGGCAGGGCACCAGTCTCACACACTACGCGCTGGAGGAGATTCTTTCAAGCATTTACTTACCCAACTGCCTAAGTACATCTTGAAACTGGTAATAGCTCAATTAATATTATTTTCTTTTACTCTCTATTATCCGCTCTTTTACCAATGACAGCTTGAGTACACTTTATTTGTAGCCACAAAGTAATCAAGAGAAGCAACTCAGCTCTGTAACTATGGCATGTACAAACAACAGCCGGCTGATAATTAATCCATACCTATTCAGAAAATTAACTCTGATTAGTCAAAACATTCTATTGCCAACCCTTCAATCGAGAACATTTAGTTTGCTGACACGAATGGAAATGCATCAATGAACTACATCTGAGCATTTAGCTGAGCTTCTTCAGGCTGTTTGATACGGTACCTGCTGCTCGCTGGGCAAAAATTAACACAGAAGGTTTAAAAAGTGTGGAAGAGGTGGAGGGAGGGAGGGAGGTGGGAGCAAGGCTGATGAGGGGATCTTCTGCCTTTGGAACCGGTTTAGCAAGAGGGGAACTATCCACCAAAGATCTGGTTTTGCATAGCATACCCTTGGGGACCTTCTAATGGACCTGAAGGGGACCTACAGGAGAGCTGGGGAGGGACTCTGGATGAGGGAGGGGAGCCCTAGGAAGAGGGGGAAGGGTTGGACCCTGAAAGAGGGGAGATGGAGCTGAGCTGTGGGGAAGAACTTGTTTGGTGGGAGGGTGGTGAGAGCCTGGCCCAGGTTGGCCAGAGAAGCTGTGGCTGCCCCATCCCTGGAGGGGTTCAAGGGCAGGTTGGAGGGGGCTTGGAGCAACCTGGGCTGGTGGGAGGTGTCCCTGCCCAGGGCAGGGGGTGGCACTTGGGGTGGCTTTGAAGTCCCTTCCAACCCAAACCACCCTGTGATTCTATGGCTCTAGTGGAGCATGCACAGCTTCTATGCCTTGAGGTAGGTGGAAGATACTCAAATCCTCTTCACTTTCCCTCTTGTAACACAAAAAATAACCTCTCTCCTGCAGAAATTCCCACCTAAGTCCCAGGGTTTTTTCAATACCTTTGGAGGCCATGAACGTTTTTGTAGCCCAAGATGGAAGAAGGGGCCAGAGGTGGAAGAAGGAGCCCCGATGCTCTGTGACCCCGGGTAGAGGTTAAACCTTGGTGAAGGCAGAGCTCCTCAGGAAACAGTTTGCCTGAACCGTGCAAGTTTTCCAGATTTCTCCAGCACTTGTGGCTGACGCCGGGCTGGGCCGGAGACACTCCGGCTGCCTCAGGGAGAGGCCCAGAGGAGGTGACGCCCAGCTTGGGGTGTTTTGGTTGCCTCCAGCCAGCTCCTGGCCTCACGCTGCCCGTCCTCCCCGTGCCAGCGCCCGGCACCGCGGGTCACACCAACAGTTAATCCAGCTGGAAAGGCTTTTTTTTTTTCCCCCCTTATTTCCATAAGTTCAGCGCTGCAGCCACGCCAGCCCCCTCATCTGGCTCTCCTTCCTTGGGCCCAATCCAGCACTCGGCCAAGTGTGTGCTCAGCTGTTAACAGAAAATCTCCTCCCCCCCCAAAAAAAAAGTGAAAGCTAATCAGAATTTTGTAATTATGTCTACCAGGAGTGTTTTATTTTCTGGACATGGACAGGCACTCCTGAGGTATGGCTGGCTGGGCAAGGTCTTCACCGGGATGTCCAAATCCCCAGTCTAAACCTCTGCTGTCATAGCTTTTTAAGTCAAATATGGGACACTACCTCCCCTGGAGGACCCAACATCAGGAGAACGTGGCCTGAAATACATAGAGCAAGAGCTTAACCTTGTGGTTTTCAAATCTCTGCTGCACATTAAGTTCACCAGTTGCTCTTGGTCTGTACAATAGCCCATCCGGAATAATGTCCCCACAGGAAAAACATCTCCCAGACATTCAGTGAAATTGGTTAAGAATTGCAATTAGATTGTAAAGTTGCCCTCTCAGAGCTGCATTTTTCCACTAATTTTGTTCATTAGAAGCAAACTGACCAGCTCTGCTGGAAGAACTCAATCATCAGTGTGGCACCACATTCAGAGTACTCCTCAGGTTGCAAGGGTCCTCTCCAAAGTGTGCAGCACCCCATAGGCTCTGCCCAAGTGGAAAATAAAGCTGTGTTTGCCCAGCTAAAAACAAAGATGGAAAACTACAAAGCACCACTACAGTAACTTAAAGAAAACAAAAAGCTAAAATTTGCTTTGCAGTTTATCTTCAAACAACAGCACTCGCAGCCAAGACACCTCGATTGTGCAACAATGTTGGCCACCGGAGCACTGAAGCACTTGATCTGTTTATTCTCCAGTGACTCCTCCCCAAGATGTCCTACCAAGGGATGGTGGATGGAGTATCTCAGCCATCCACCACGATGTGCCTCTTCTTTCCCTCACCCTCTGCTCTGGACCCCAGCAGCTCTTCTGCACCAACGAGCACGTGGATGCCCAGCACGCTCAGGATGAAGTGGGCACTGATGAGATCATAAAATTGCATTACCTACACACAGAGGGTACAAACCTGGTATCTAAGGTCCCTAGCAACCATTCAAGATAAGCTACTCCATGGAGCACCTATGGAGCTACCTATGGAGCACCTCTCCTATGAAGACAGGCTGAGGGAGCTGGGATTGTTCAGCCTGGAGAAGAGAAGGCTCCGGGGAGACCTTATAGCGGCCTTTCAATATCTGAAGGGTGCCTATAGAAGAGCTGGGGAGGGACTCTGCCAGGAGGTGTAATGATAGGACAAGGGGAAACGGTTTTAAACTGGAAGAAAAAAGATTCAGATTAGATCTCAGGAAGAAATTTTTTAGTAGGGGTGTGGTGAAACACTGGAACGGGTTGCCCAGGGAAGTTGTGGCTGCCCCATCCCTGGAGGGGTTCAAGGCCAGGCTGGATGGGGCCTTGAGCAACCTGCTCTAGTGGGAGGCGTCCCTGCCCAGGGTAGGGGTGTTGGAACTCAATGATCTTTGAGGTCCCTTCCAACCCAAACCATTCTATGATTCTATCTCCTGTGGGAGAAGCTCTCTCTAAAAAGCATGCCCTGCTCTGGTCTGGATGGTTGGATGGTTGGTGATGGCGTGTCTGGAGGCCACCAAGGGCCTTGCACAGAGCCAAAATCTGGCTCCACAGGCTGGATGGTTGGTGACGGCGTGTCTGGAGGCCACCAAGGGCTTCTAAGGAGTCGAGCCCACTTGCACAGAGCCAAAATCTGGCTCCACAGGAGGAAAGGTGACAGTGTCTGTATGGGATGGGCATTTTTACCCACCGACACAACTCAGTGGCACAATCCCTGTGCCAGGAAACAACTGCAAATCCAAGACCTGACTGACAGACAAAACCCAGTCTCCTGAGGCCCTTCTGGTTTCACTGGTGGATTCAGGAACGTGCGATTCACGAGGGTGGCGAGTGACACCCCTGAGGCAAGGACATTCTCTGGGTTACTGACTACCTGAAGATGATGAAGAGGGGAATTTGGGGGACATGGAAAGCCACAAACCCAGGCTCTCCCTTCACTCGTTGGGATGCGAGGGAAGGTGGTGGCGGTGGAGGAGAGGAGGTGGTGGGGTGGCTGCAGGGCGACTCTCAGCAGGGAGGGAGGCACAAGCTAAAGGGCGGCCGCATCTCTCTCCATCTCCTTTGTCCCTCTGCATTTTGTTTTTTAATAAACCAGGATGACAGTCAAGTGAAGAGCGGGGAAGGAGACGGCAGGTGGCAGGAGTTAGCTGCAGCTCAGCCACCAGCTTTGGACCCACGATTTTAACAGGGTGAGGAGGAGAGGAAGTATGCAATGCCAGGGCAGGAGAAAGCACGCTCAGCTGCAACACACAGAGAGGTTTCACGCATCAGTCTGCAAAAACAAAGAAAATCCATAAAAGCATAAAACCCCAGCTGTCCAAATTCTGGAGTTTTAGAGTCATGACTGCCATTTCTCTACATTAATAACAACAGCAGTCCTTTATCACAGGGGGGGAAAGTCCAACCAAGCCTCAGCAGGCAGAGGGATCCCTGCTGTGGGATTCTCCAACGCCCTCACCCAGCTCCCTCCGTTGTCCATGAGGACCTGTTCCCATCAAACCAGTCCTAAAATCAATCCTAACCCAGCTCTGCTCCTTCCCACAGCACCACAACACCCTGTGGAAACACGGCAGCTGCCAAGGTGTCCCGGCAGAAGATCCTGCCTCCAACTCATCCAACAATTCAGCTTTCCAGCTCTTTGATCTACCTCTGCAAGGGGGTGTCGGCACGAAACTCTTTGGCGGAGCAGCAACAAGGAAGAGAGAGAGCATCGGGAACACGTTGTCCCTGGATTAGCGTTGCCCGCCAGCAGCCTTGGAACGGGGTAAGATTTGGCATAAAAACCAAAAAAGTACAATTGTGCCATGGTTTTCATGTAATTCAGAGTCATCTGAATAGTCCTTGCGAGTCCAACGGTTACCATGAGAGCTGTGCAGCCCCACGGTTTGTGTCTAGAGCCACGATGTAAACCACAGACACATTTAAGTCTATCAAACCAGGCAGGCTTGTGTACTTTTTTTTTTTGTTGTTTCTGTTAGGAGTTTACACTTTTTCTGAGGCTGACAGCACCGACTCTACAAGAGGGCTCCACCATCTGCTTCGCCTTCCTGGGCTCCTTCCTGAGGGCATCACTCCTGATCCTCTAACTACGGTACCACCTTTATGACGCTAGCAAATATGTTTCCAAAATAAGACTATTTCAGGAAGTTTGGGCAGACTCTGCTAATTATAAAGATCCTCTCGCAGTCGTTAGAGCCCCGCTTCTCACCGAGACATTCAGCTGGGGTTTTTAACACCATTAGCAATGAAAAATGCTGTTTCTTACATCTTCAGATCTGCACAGCCCCGACTGCTCCTCGCTGCTCTCTAATTTTGTGCACCTGTTTCCCATTATCCAAACAGCTTGCTGGTTGTTTTTTCTCCTAAATAATCTTTTACACGGAAAAGTCTGTGCTTGAAACCACCAGCACATAAATGAGACAGGATGGGACATGCTGGAGGACACCGACAGCTGACGAAGATACCCTTGGACCACCACAAGCTCCATGAGACCGACCACTCTCAGCACCAAAGGTATTAGTGCTTTTTTTTCCCCCCTCCTGACCTCCTCCCACCAAGGAGAACATCTTCTTGCCCTCAAGGGCATCTCAAAGACCTTCAGATCCCCCTGCCAGGTTTGTCCCTCGTGTGGCTCCTGACTCTTTGTCATCTCCATGCCTCCTGAAACGCAGCCAGCGCGCGTCACAGCTGCCTGGCACAGAAAACCCAGCAGCACGCACTTAAGTGTTTGCAATGTAAACTGTCATCTGCTGCTAAACATGTTATTAAGCCTCTGTGTGTATCACAAAGCAAAAATATATGTTTATTTGACTTTGCTATCTCTGAAAATAGAAGTTCAAGTCTTCCTAGCGGCTCTCTTGTTCAACAGGTACGACAGAGGTGGAATAACCAGAGACCCCGGCCACGGCCCGCAGTCATGGACTGGAGAGGAGGACAACCTGCTGTCATGGAGGATGGGACAGCTCTGGAGCCCTCAGCACTGGAAGGACATGGATCTTTTGGAGCGGGGCCAGAGGAAGCCACAGAGATGCTGGTAGGGCTGGAGCCCCTCTGCTGGGAGGACAGGCTGAGAGAGTTGGGGGGGTTCAGCCTGGAGAAGAGAAGGCTCCGGGGAGACCTTCCAGCCCCTTCCAGCCCCTCAAGAAGGGGGGCTCCAGGAAAGCTGGGGAGGGACTCTGGATGAGGGAGGGGAGCCCTAGGAGGAGGGGGAAGGGTTGGACACTGAAAGAGGGGAGATGGAGCTGAGCTGTGGGGAAGAACTTGTTTGGTGGGAGGGTGGTGAGAGCCTGGCCCATGTTGCCCCGAGAAGCTGTGGCTGCCCCATCCCTGGAGGGGTTCAAGGGCAGGTTGGAGGGGGCTTGGAGCAACCTGGGCTGGTGGGAGGTGTCCCTGCCCAGGGCAGGGGGTGGCACTGGGGGGGCTTTGAGGTCCCTTCCAACCCAAACCATTCTATGAATAGTCATGGACTGGAGAGCAGGACAGCCTGCAGTCATGGAGGATGGGACAGCTCTGGAGCCCATCTTTTGGAGCGGGGCCAGAGGAAGCCACAGAGATGCTGGGAGGGCTGGAGCCCCTCTGCTGGGAGGGGGGGCTGAGAGAGTTGGGGGGGTTCAGCCTGGAGAAGAGAAGGCTCCGGGGAGACCTTGGAGCCCTATGGGGCTGTTGAAGCAGGGCCAGAGGAGGCCACAGAGATGCTGGGAGGGCTGGAGCCCCTCTGCTGGCCTGGAGAAGGCTCCAGGGAGACCTTCCAGCCCCTTCCAGTCCCTAAAGAAGGGGGGCTCCAGGAAAGCTGGGGAGGGACTCTGGATGAGGGAGGGGAGCCCTAGGAGGAGGGGGAAGGGTTGGGCCCTGAAAGAGGGGAGATGGAGCTGAGATGTGGGGAAGAACTTGTTTGGTGGGAGGGTGGTGAGAAGCTGTGGCTGCCCCATCCCTGGAGGGGTTCAAGGGCAGGTTGGAGGGGGCTTGGAGCAACCTGGTGTGGTGGGAGGTGTCCCTGCCCAGGGCTGGGGGTGGCACTTGGGGGGCTTTAAGGTCCCTTCCAACCCAAACCATTCTATGATTCTATGAATTACCCTGCCTTGTGCTGCTAAAGATTGACTCCAAGAGCCAGAGTCCAAGGCAGAGCTCAGTGATGGTCCTCCCTTTGCAACCCAGGTCCACCTCTAGTTTTTTAAAGCCCTATTCAGTACGAAGAAGCTGCTGTGCCACCTGCCTGTTCAGCATCTGCCACAATTACTGCCCAAAACTCTCTGTGTCTTACACATCAGGTCTTGGAGCTGTTAATTCTCCCCGTGGCCCTTCTCTCACCAGCTCTGGTGAAAGCACCAGGCTGCAGATGGAGGCCATGCTGGAGCAGCCAACAGAGGATGGTCAGAAAAGTACAGGAGGGAGGTAAAAATGAGTTCGGATTTTCTTTTAGCATGGAGGGTTCCAAGAAGAAAAAAATAATCTAATCCTTTTCGTGTAGCTTGACGTTATCCTGTAACAAGCTAACATCATGTGGCTGTTAAAGTCCCCCAAAGAAGAAATCCTGAATTCTATAAACCAGTTGTTATTTTTCAAAATTCACATCCTGGGCTACTTTATCATCTCGCTACGGTTCACTGCTGATAATCTCTGGATTACTACAGATAAGTAGCTTGACGTTATCCTCTAACAAGCTAACATCATGTGGCTGTTAAAGTCCCCCAAAGAAGAAATCCTGAATTCTATAAACCAGTTGTTATTTTTCAAAATGCACATCCTGGGCTACTTTATCATCTCGCTAAGGTTCACTGCCGATAATCTCTGGAAAACACAAGGCACAGTCACCCTCTGGATTTTCACTTCCAGAGGCTGTTAAGTACGGACGGGTGTGAGCGTGATCACCCTCTGCACAGGCAGCAAAGCCCCTTCCTAAGGGCCTTCTCCTCCCGAAAATATTCTAATTACCAACCAATGGAATAGCTGCTTTTCTTCCTTACCACTGCTGCTCGTTAGTAACGAGGTATCAACGAGGTGTTACCCTCCCTTCCACAGCCCTTCTCCTGGCCTTGCAGGTGTTTCTGCCCAGCACCCTCTACCCGCTCACAGCCCACCAGGACAAAATCTGCTCCAGCACACGGGCTGTGATAAAGGACCCTCTGGGTCTCACCAGAGGGACAATTCCCACCTTGTCCCTGTAGGAAAGGTGGTGGATGGGCAGTGGCAGACCTGTGGCCGGGGGTACAGCACGGTGCTCCTCAGCAGACACCCCCTAGATTTTGGCATCACCTGCTCTGTGAAACCCTGCTGTTCTGCGGCGCTGGTGTTTATAATGAAGTTTTGGGACAGTATTTATCCCAGCCTGGCCTGGCCGTCGTGCTCTGCTCAGTGTCAGTTCTGCTTTTACAGCTGTGTTTAAGCACCATGACATTTTACAGGCTCTTTCCCCAAAACACAAGGCACAGATGTCGCCCTCCATGGAGGAGGCTGCCTGCAGTGGCCTGGTTTGTGTGCTGGGGTCCTCAGTGTGGGGCTGCAGCTGAGCCCGGTGCCTTCTTGGGGGGTGAGACCTTGGCCCAGGTTGGCCAGAGAAGCTGTGGCTGCCCCATCCCTGGAGGGGTTCAAGGCCAGGTTGGAGGGGGCTTGGAGCCACCTGGGCTGGTGGGAGGTGTCCCTGCCCAGGGCAGGGGGGTTGTAACTGGATTATCTTTAAGGTCCCTTCCACCCCAAACCTTTTTGTGATGCTATGGTTCTGGTGGGACTCCAGGACACCTCACAGCATTTCTGCCTACGGACAAGCCCTGCTCCTTGCCCAGAGCCAGCCTGGGGTGGGTAATTCCACCCAGCAAGTGCATACACAGGGTCCAGCCTCACATTTTCCCCACCAGAGTACTACTGGCAATAAAGGAGGAATTACAGTCATAAATTGCACCTTTTACCAATGCATCTTAAAGCATCTCCTACATCTATTAAGTGTTATCTGCACTTAACGCTCTTCCCAAAGCATATAAAGCCCTAATGGCAAACACGAGCCCAGCAGCACGGGTCTCAGGGGTCCCGTACTGCGAATGACCTCTGCTTCCAGCATTCCCCTCATCTGCACAGAACCAGAGCATCAGGAGGTTTATTTCCATCCTGGCCTCACAAAGAGGCACTTTTGCCTTTTCCAAGAGGCCAACAAGATCACGGTGAAGGCGCTCCACTCTCCAGCCTATGGGAAGCCACCAGCCACAAATCAAAGAGCTGTTCTCATCTGCTGTCAAACAGGCTGGAGACAGGAATAAAACCAGCCTAGTTTTTAACAAGTTGCAGGGAGCACAGATTTTTTCCATTTTACCCGGATAATCTGAACGGGGAGGCAGAGTCAGAAGATTTACAGGATTTCTGCACTAAGGTTTTAAACTCCCCTCAGCCCGTCTACAACACCCAAAGTCCAACAGGGGACACGTGGAAGGATGCTGCGCTGAGAAACGCACCAACCCTTTTCACTTGATTCATAAAATCATTATTTGACCTGGTTTTTGGATTTATCACAATAATTGGTATCTGTGTTCCCTGCCAGAAAAAAGGACAATAAAATACCCTACGATGGTTATTAAATCCTTTGGAGAGACAGCCCTCCCAAAAAGAATTAATCTGGTTGGGTACTTCAAAATTTCACTCGCTTCACATCTTCCAAATGTTTGCACTCTTCATCTTTTCTGTCAACAGGAAAAGACACTGTACCCAGCAAACGGCAAAGTACACACGGGTGTGATCTCAGGGGCAACCTCTTACAGCTCTTACTGGTCATTTCAGGCCCAGCAGGAGCTTCATAGAGTCATAGAGTTGTCCAGGCTGGAAGGGACCTCCAAAGGTCATCTAGTCCGACCTCCCCACAGTCAGCAGGGACACCCCCAACTAGACCAGGTTGCCCAGGGCCTCGTTGAGCCTCTCCTTGAATATCTCCAGGGAAGGGGCCTCAACCACCTCCCTGGGCAACCTGTTCCAGTGCTCCACCACCCTCACAGTGAAGAACCCTCTCCTCATCTCCAGTCTAAATCTGTTCCCCTCCAGCTTGAAGCCATTGCCCCTCGTCCTGTCACTGCAGGCCTTTCTAAACAGGTTCTCCCCAGCCTTCCTGTAGGCTCCCTTCAGGTGCTGGAAGGCTGCTATAAGGTCTCCCCGGAGCCTCCTCTTCTCCAGGCTGAACAACCCCAGCTCCCTCAGCCTGTCCTCGGAGCAGAGGGGCTCCATCCCCCTGATCATCCTTGTGGCCCTCCTCTGGACCCGCTCCATCAGGTCCATGTCCTTCTTCTATTGAGGGCTCCAGACCTGCACACAATACTCCAGGTGAGGTCT